ATATATATATATATATATATATATATATATATATATATATATATATATATATATATATATATATATATATATATATATATATATATATAGGGAGAGGTTCTAATAAAAACCTAGAGAACTAAAAACCAATCCTAACCCTACATTCTATTTCATCCAATGGTCAAGATTGAAAATGGCAGAATTGAAAATAAATGCAAATCAGTTGACAAAATACCAGTAAAAGGGGTAATTTAGGAAAAGAGGCATTAATGAAAACCGCTGTAATTAATTACGAAAATACGGCGGACACTTTTTTCCGCGAAAAATCGATTCAGTTCTACTATTTTGAATACAGTTTCATCTTCTCTCTACGCGAACAACTAAACTCTTCACATTCCGTCGATTTCTCCACACTTAGGTTTCTTCGAACATCTCATTACAACAAGAACGAAGACGAAAAGCAAGACTTCGACGATAGAGATGAAGAAAAGCAACTCCGACACTCCAAAACCCTCGTCTTCAAGAAGGGGTAAAACATTTCAAACCCTTGTATTAAAAATTTATATTTTTTATCAAAGTTTGAATATTTTTCATAGATTCAGTGAGTAAAGGTTCGGAATTTCGACATAATTAACTTGCATGTTGTTGAATACTTTTCGACATGAATAAATGTTATCGATGCATGTTCTATTTTAGGGTTTTAAATTTTTTTAATTTACTTTGATCTTGTTAGAATAAGTCAAGTTTTTTTTATATTGTAAGATGTTTTCATTTGTTCTAAATGGATAGCGGTAAATATTTGTGGTCTGGATTATGCAATATGCACTCTAGTTGAATCTACTCGATTCAGTTGAGTGGATCGAGATTCACTGGTTGAATCTTATGGAGTTAGAATAAGTCAAGTTTTTTTTATATTGTAAGATGTTTTCATTTGTTCTAAATGGATAGTGGTAAATATTGGTGGTCTGGATTATGCAATATGCACTCTAGTTGAATCTACTCGATTCATTTGAGTGGATCGAGATTCAATAGTTGAATCTATTCGATTCAGTTGAGTGAATCGCGATTCACTGGGTAAATCGACTCGATTCAATTTTGTAAATCACGATTCAGTTTTGTAAATCACGATTCAGTTGAGTGTATCGAGATTCACTGGGTGAATCTACACGATTCAGTTGAGTGAATCGCGATTCACTGGGTGAATCGACTCGATTCAGTTTTGTAAATCACGATTCATTGTGTGAATCTACTCGATTCAGTTAGGAAAGTGAGGGTTTTAAATTTTTACTGTATTTCTTTGATCTTGTTAGAATAATTGAAGGTTCTTTTATATTGTAAGAGGTTTTATATCATTGAATCTGGATTCAATTTGCTGAAGTTTGATACATTTTGTTGAATCTGGATTCAATTTGCTAAATCTCAATAAATTTGGTTGAATACACTATATTGAATCGAGATTCAATCAAATGAATGTAGATGCAATACAGTGAACCTCGATTCACTACATAGATTAAATGGAGTGGATTGAGATTCACTCAAGTGAATCGCTATTTAGTGGACTGATACGAAATTCATTACAGCAAATCGCTAATAACTGGATTGTAATATCTTCTTTCAATAATGTAATTCAACCAAGTGGAAGGTTGACACCATGCATTATTCAAAGACTGGGCTCAGTAAAAAATCAATTGTCATCTGTTTAGCAGGTCTACGATCTAGATCAAAGCACAAACAAAAAGCAGGTGTTGGGATTATAGACGATGACTTCATCAACCCACCAAATAATCCTGTCGGTGAGGAAACATCAATGCGTACAAGGGATGAAGAAAATGAACAGACCACATTAAGGATGAAGAAGAA